CCTGCCTGTCTTCACTCTTTTGCCTGCTGCTTCTAATTCTTCAAGAGTAAAGAGTTCTTTCTCTTTGACTTCGCAAGAACTCCAGTCCTTCCTAAGTCATGGTTCTGCAGGAGGAAACATGGCTTTTAATACCTTCCTGACCCAATCGGGATTGTCCAGGCCGGGGGTCTTTTGCCTCATTACTAATTTTTTAGTAACGATTTTAAAAGCCAGACCCCATAGGTCCTTCTCGACGTCCTCGATTAGGTCCTTCCAACTACGGCGTCGCGACGCGCGGATCTCTTTGCTGAGGTTCTTTTTGGCCTCCTTGTATGCTTCCTTGAGCAAAGGATCTCCCTTACAGGGGTTCTACATGGGAGCGAAATCGCAAAGTCGTTGGGAGCATTGTAACACCTCCTTCCCATCTACTCTGTGCACTCCCCTCCGTGACGTCAGAAGGGGAAAGCATTAGGTAGGTGGCGCAGTGGGATTGCGACGATCGCAACGACTCTGAGATTTCGCTTTCATGTAGAACCCCTGTTAGAACGGGTATATGTCCTTCTTGCTCTGAAACATGCCTTTCGCAAGGAGGACATCCTTTTTGACCACCAGTGCAAGGATTTCCTTCTGAAAGAGGCGCGTTTGCGACGCGGCATTGAAGCATCGCACACGTTATCTTACCGTGTAAGCTTACCAAAAACCTTACCATGTAAACTTACCACGACCTTACTGTGTAAGCTTACTGTAAGGCGGAAGTTTTAAGATGTCCTCAAGTTTACTGCAGGCTTACACGGTAACCTTATAAACCCTACAGATATCATTACAGTAACCTCCCAGCAAGAAGTCGTGCTATGTGGAGGCATTAATCCACCCAATGTGGATTTTGCCCAACTTAAGCAAGGTACCACAATCCGCGTCAGAAAGCCGGATTAATGCCATTATCACTCCTCCAAAGCGTGGTAAAAGTCGACACTCCACAGCCAGGTCAGACTTTTCCAACTTACCCCTCAAGGCAGAAGCCACATCCCCTCGGTTGTGGTCTCATCGAGATCTCCGATCTCGATTCTCTTTTTGTTTACCAGAGCCCTAACCTCGGCTCTATTAGACAGAGCCGAGGTAAGTGTCCGGGCGAACTTGGAGGTCTCTCCTCCTTTCTTAACCACAACGAGGACTTCGTTGTTAAGGGTCCTCCTTACTTTTAAAACCTCGGTACCGGTTTCTTCCGGTTTATCCGAGGTTTTCATGACTTTCAAGATTTCGGCGTAAGAATCTTTATCTATCGCCGAAATCCTGACTGCCTCCGTGTTCTTAGGCCTTAAAGAGCGCTTGGGGGACTCTGCTCGTTTTTGGGCTTTCTTTTTCAGAGCCCTCTTTTTTTATTGACAGAAAACTGGAAGCCGTCACCGTCCTTTTTGACGAACTTTTTCATCTGTCCCACCTCCGGTCTCTTCCGCACGCATAACAACATTTCCCTGCACTTGTGAGATAAGGGTATTGTTTGGAGCATCCTTGCTCTTTTAGCTTCCTTCGGAGGATGCCGAACATTTACAGCTTGTAATGTCAGCAAAGATGTCTGGATATTTCCTTTGGGCGACTTGGAGACCTTAAAGGTCCAGTCCTGCAGTCTTGTTGTTGCATGATGCCGATACTTGGGAGCCAACAAGCCCACCCCCAGCAGCGCCGTTGTTGAGGGATCCGACCACCTCAACGACCATATTTTCCATGGTTTGCATATTCATTATTTTTTTCGTTCTGGTTTATTTGAGCTGGGGACCACCCTGGTTATAGGTTCTTTTTAAGTGTTATTTTAAATAATAAATAAATAAAAACAATAATTTGTTTAAACAAATATTTCTCCTCCGCTTGGAGAATTTTTAATCACTAATAACCGCATCCGGCTACGAAAATTGTAAAATTGAGAGAAAACTCCAAGTTCATAAGTTTATGTTTAAAAGATTAATAAATAACAATAACCACTTTCAAACATGTATTTTACCTTTTTTGCATTTATGGGGTTTTTTGCTGCCTTGTAAAAAATAGTTAATTTAATTTTTTTTTAATAATTATTAAAATTTCATAATTTGAACACTCTTGAAGAGAAATATCGTTGGCCGATTAAAAAATATTAAGTTTTAACGAAATTATTGCATTTTTACGAAAAAGCAGCTTTTCCCACATAAAATACATGGGAAACTTCAAGGGCTTGGTGGCACCATTAAATATTAACTGATTTTAAAATAAAAATTTGGGGTCCCTTTTTTCCAATTGGAACAATTGTACCGGGCGGCAGCATGACTTTTTGTTGGGCCACCTTAATTCACATATGGATAAGACTCCGTCATATATCCTAAAATTTACACCACTGATATTTATAAGTATAGCCTAAACTATACGCCGGTTAAAGTTGTATATTTGGCGAATTACTCTGTGATATAAGTTTAAATATAATTGCTTTCATTGCAAAAAAAATTTCCCAGTTCATGGGCGATTTCCATATCGGGATGGAGTATCAAGTATTCTAGAGTTTCCTTAGGATTTCTTGCTGAACCGAATCTTCTCTAGAAAAATCTAAATAGAGCCAGTCGGCCCTCGGCGAACAGTTCGCATCCTCTCATATAGTGAGAAATTGAGCTGTTTGCTTTCCCACATTTGCATTGGGAAGAAATGTTCAATGAAATCTTTCGAATAGTGTGCTAACGTAGAGATGGCCCGATTTTAGACGCGTTATAAGGTTGATGTATTGTCTAGGTAGATCAAATCCTCCTAACCATGGTCTACTCGTTTTATGGTTTACAAATCTAAAGTACTTTTGTGTGCATTTGTCAAGGTTGAAATAAGGCCAGTCCAAATTACAATGAGAAGTATAATTCTTTTTAACTAGCTGCCCCACTTCGTCCAGAAGGGGACGAATAGTCGTTCCGAGGTCAACACGATTTAATCCAATTCTTTCAATTTTTAGAGAGGAAGAGAGGACCGCAAGCTGGTCCACCCTTTCGTAACCTTTAATTCCAACGTGGGCAGGAATCCAAATGAACAAAATACTGTCTCTGCGATTGCTGATTATTGAAGTTAGTTTAGCTATATCGTGTAAAATTAGATCTGAAGCAAAGTTGATAAAACTATCTCTTATTGATATAAGTGCACCCAATGAGTCGGTACAAATCACGGGTATTTTCAGCATTTTCAAGTTACTGTGTTTTACTGCCATAAATATGGCCATGATTTCAGCCGATAGAGAGGAAAAGCACCCTATCAAACGTGAACCATACTTGTAACCCGATGATGGAACATAATAGCTTGAACCTGCAGAGTCATTTTGATTATTGTAGGATCCATCTGTGAAGATTGCAACGGAATTATGATTCTACTACCCCATAAAATTGTTCCACGGAAGTTAAATAATAACTCAATACACAAAAAACCAAAAGTATTGCGTTTTAAAAGAAAAAACCTTATATAATTGGTGAAACTTTGCAAATCTTTTTTTATTTACCCCAACTGATTATATAGTTTTTTTATTTTTCACTGACAAATTTCAAAAGAAGCACTAAACGACCACCTAACCATAGCACTAGTAAATAATTACATTGCATACTGAGAGTGCTAACTTCACGTACATATCATTTTGTCATATGGACTGCCGTTCGACAAAATAGTTGCCTTCTTTCGCATAATATACAAAATATATTATTACAGGCGTTCATTTTACTTATTTAGAAATGAATTTTCCTAAAATAATTATTTTTAATGTTGTACCGGTTGTACCAGAATAGAGTCTGCAAATACTGGATTTATAGTTTTAGACACTTTTCTTTTAAAATAATTAATAAAAAGTTAGCCCATCGACTATATATTCTCATAACAAAATTTTAAAGATGTACCTTCAATATTTTTGACCCTAACTTTCGTGAATTTTATTATTGGTATAGATTTTCACAAAACTTGACAATTTCAACAAAATTTATTTATTTTTATAAATTTTTTCGGATTGCTAAAAATTTTACAGTTACATTGTTGCCAAAATTTCACTCTACAATTGAGGGTCCCGATCAAATAACTCGACCAACGCTCGGACGAACGCTCTATTACCAGTTAAGTAGCAGTGACAGCTTGTGGGCGGCTCACTGCTACCCGACTACCATTAGAGCGTTCGTCCGAGCGTCGGTCAAGTTATTTGATCGGGACCCTCAATTACAGTTAGGTGTTAAATTTAATATTTTTAAATGAATATTTTACAAATTTAAAACTAGCTTGTACCATTATAACCCCTGGTGTACCAGAATAGTCCCGGTTACACATAAATTTTTGTATTAAAAAAAAATTTTTCGATATTAACACACTTAAGAAATACTAATTTTTATTGATATGCAAAATATGTTATTTCACATTCGCGGAAATGGGACACCAGTGACATTTTGCAAGTAATTTTTTTGGCAAATTTTTTCAGAGTATTTCTGGTGGCTAAAAAAATTTAAACAAAATGAATAATAAATAAAATTAACAAACTGACAAAAGTTTGATATAGTAATTTGGATTCGAATTTTTTAGACAAGACAGCAAAATCACATTTCAAAATTAATCATCCATATATTCTAGATCTTGTAAATGTTTTTAAAAATTGTAAATTAGTGGAAAACTGATAATTTACTTAAAAACATGTAAAATTAATTAAAAAAATTTTAAATGAGAAATAAGGAGAACTGGAATATTTAATTACAATAATAATGTTGTGCTTTATCTATTAAATAACATCTCTGTAAAAAATAATAAAGATTTACGAAACCATTAAAAATTAAATGTTTAACTAAAAAGTTTAATTTACGATGATTAACTTCAAATTAATAATTAATTTAAAATAAACATTTATAGGTATAATTATTTTGTTGAAAATTAGCAGAAAAACTGCTCTAAAAAATTTCCAATTAAAGTCTGACAATCGTATTTAAAATAATTATGGATTAACACTTCCTTTTACTAATTTAGTAAGAAAATATTTTCAGAATTCAAAAACTTTTATTAACCTTGTTTTACTGTAAGGATGAATAATCCACCAATGTTTTGATTCAATTTGTCTCTTTTTTTCTCTTTCAATTGAAGATAAACTAATAGCAGAAATTTTACATTTAGGATGGTTTTTGTATATTGTCGTTAAAGCTTTCATTTTTTTTGAACTAAATAAACATGACTTTTCCTGATCTTGTAAACTAGTTTCCGAAAAAGAGATTTCACATTTATGGTCAAATAATTTCATTTTTGAAGAAATTTTGAAAATAAGGTTAAAATGTAATTTATAAATCGTTAATGTTGACTATATTTAAAAAGGCACAGGTTATAAACTCAGAGGAACCAAACTGTCATGTATACATCGAATATATTGTTTCGCTTTGTCTCGTTACCAAGGCGACTTCATATTTCCAATTGAAAATATAGTGTGACCAATAAATATGAATTAATTTAACATTTTTAAGGGGGAAGTCTACTGTGACAAAGGGAAAAACAAGCCGATTTTCTGGATTTTTTTTCTAACAAAATATGACTCGTACATTAAATTAATCAACCAGACGTGAGATTTCATTTACACCGTTTGAGCACCTAAAAAAACGGACCTGCACTTGAAGGAGTGCAACAACGGCAATTTTGAATATTTCGACTTTAAATTTTTTTACAAATACTTGTATATATAATAAAGATGATGGTTTAATTTAATGTACGAGTCATATTTTGTTAGAAAAAAATCTAGAAAATCGGCCTGTTTTTTCCCTTGTCACAGTAGACTTCCCCCTTAATGTCAAGCTCAAAATTTAGAGCCTATAAAACTTTTCAAAACGGAATCGAAACTTTTTAATTTTTCTGTTTTTAAATAGTGTTATAGCTGGAATTTAATAAGGAAAAAGTTTTTTTTATAGTTTTAAAGAAACCAGTTAATGAAAATGCAAAATGATCTTTAAACTTGTTTCAAATTGTAGTGACCTAAAAACATATATGAACATATATTATAAACTCAAAAGAATAAATTGGGAAGTGTGGGGAGTTGTGCCTCGTGGGGAGTCGTGCTCCACCTTAATTTTTTTATCATGGCAATTAAGAGAGTAGTCTGGTGTTTAGGCCTTTTTTAGGAGCTTATTTCACGATTTTTTTATTATAAAATAAAGTATAATCATACCAAATCTGTTTACTTCATTTTATTCTCATCTTGAAGTGTTGAAAAAAATTATAATCGATTATTTTTTACTAGATTTTGTTATTTATATTCAATATTAATGTTTATAACAAAAAAATGTTGGCGCAGGTGATTTACAAAAATCTATCCGACCGATTGCTCCAATTTTTTACAGCTTTTTCTGCACAAGCATGACTCTGGCCCGTACTAGAATAAAACATTTTTGTTAATAAATAACAAAATGGCGGACTTTATAATCAAAAAGATTCAAAAATTGTCTATTTTTATTGACAAAAAGTTAAAAAAAAGTTTTCATTAAAATTGCGTAATTCTAGTACGAGCCACAGCCATACTTGTGTAGAATAAGCTCAAAAAAAATTGGAGCAATCGGTCGACCAGATTTTTGTAAATCACCTGCGCCAGCATTTTTTTGTTCTAAACATTATAGTATAGTAAATCTGTCATGAAAAAGTCGTGTTTCTGGAAAAAATTATAAAGTGGAATTTTATTTCATAAATGGATAGAGGCATCTGAGACTAACTTAAAACCAAAAAGTTGGGAACCCCCCCTTTGGGGAAAATGAGGGGGGCTAAGTTTCTTAGGAATACATTTATCTCAAAAAGGGCATATTCATTTCTCGTTAAGAATTAACTTTTTAAGTGGTACCCGTCATCTTTGGAAGCATTTTTTGTGTCTTTACAGATAGGTAGTTAAAAATTTTTTTTAAAAGTATTTTTGTCTCTTTATGTTTAGGTCATTTCCACTAATTTTTCAAAGTGACCAGAATGTTTAATGCATAAAAATTAGCTGTCATTAATAACTTTCGACGTACAAAAAGATCGCATAAACATTCGATGTATTAATTATACTATGATTATTTTGAAAATGTAAACAATGGGGAGTTGTGCTCCAGCGTTCGTGGGGAGATGTGCCTCACATCATATTTAACAGTTTTTATTTCTAAAACGCACTCTCTATTTGGGTCATTCCATGGGAAATTTTCATTCAACATTTTTTTCTGAAACTTTTTTTTAGAAATCTATATGAAAAATAAGGCAATATGTATTTTTTATTTGATAAAATTGAAGAAAAATTATGATTATTTTAAATTTAACGTTAACGATAGAAGTGTGTTTTTGGAACATTTTTTAATCTATTGTACTAATAAATTAAAAAATCGGACAAGTGCGAGTTACACTCGCACTGAAATCGAGGGTTCCGTACTCGAAGCGAATTTATTTGGTATAAAAACAAATGTTTAAAAAATATGTGTTGTATGTTAAATAATATATGTGATACAAAAAGAAACAATTTTTAAAAAAAAATTTAAGAAAATTGTTCCTCCTTTTGTATAAAAACAAAAAAAAATTTTAAATATGTGTTGTATTTCAAATAATATAAGTGATACAAAAAGAAACAATTTTGTAAAATTTAAGAAAATTGTTCCTCTTCGTATCACTTATATTATTTGAAATACAACACACATTTAAAATTTTTTTTTGTTTTTATACCAAAGGAGGAACAATTTTCTCAAATTTTTGTTTTAAATTGTTTCTTTTTGTATCACATATATTATTTAACATACAACACATATTTTTTAAACATTTGTTTTTATACCAAATAAGTTCGCTTCGAGTATGGAACCCTCGATTTCAGTGCGAGTGTAACTCGTCCGATTTTTTTCGTTTTTTGCGGAAAAATACAATTTTTATTAAATTTATCATTTTTCTTCAAAAATTTGATAAAAATTGATCATCAACTCCAATCGCGCTTACATTTTTTCCCTGTATTTTTTACGCAAAAATACAGTTTTGCAGCAAATATGAACAGTTTGGGTTGAATATTATGTGCGCTTGGGAGAAAAAATCAATTTTTTCGAAATTTTTGATTTTTCCTTTACAACGCTATGTAAATTGATCCGAATCAAGTTCGCTATATTTTTCCTGTAATTTTCACGTAAAAATACGTAAGTGTACCAAATTTGAGCTCTTTATGTCAAAAGATGTGGCTGCTAAGGGGGGGGGGTACATAGTCATTTTTAGGTATTTTTCGTAAAAATTCATGGTTTTTCCTTGACAACGCTATGATAATCAACTCCAATCATGCTCGCTATATTTTTTTGTAATCTACACGTAAAAATACGTTAAAATATATAAATTTAAATCCCTTTAAATAAAATTTTGTTCGTTTTTGGTGGAAAAATACATTTTTTTCCTAAAATTGTCATTTTTTCTTGAAAAACTTGATAAAAAGTTAATCATCAACTCTAATCGTGATTGCTTTTTTTTCCTGTATTTTTTCCGTAAAAATACATTTGTATACTAAATATGAACTGTCTGGGTTGAATATTGTGTGCGCTTGGGAGAAAAAATCAATTTTTTCGAAATTTTTGATTTTTCCTTGACAACGCTATGTAAATTGATCTGAATCAAGTTCGATATATTTTTCCTGTAATTTTCACGTAAAAATACGTAAGTGTGCCAAATTTAAGCTCTTTATGTTAAAAGATGTGGCTGCTAGAGGGGGGGTACATAGTCATTTTTAGGCATTTTTCGTAAAAATTCATGGTTTTTCCTTGACAACGCTATGATAATCAATTCCTATCAGGTTCCCTATATTTTTCCTGTAATCTACACGCAAAAATACATATGTGTACCAAATTTCAGCTTTCCAGATAAATTCGTGTGGCCGCTAAAGGGGGGGGGGGGGTACACGATTTCAAAAAAACCGATATTAATAGAGTTCCGAACCGAGTACGGAACCCCAAAAAGTATGATATATATGAAATTTGTTCATTTTTTCTCAAATTTTTCAAATATGTGGTCAAAAATAACGTACCTATAACGAAAGCAACAAAAAGGTTGAAATTTAACTTAAAAGTGAGTTTCCTCAAAGAGAGACACTTTCGATTTTTAATTTTTTTTACCTTGCAATCTCTGATAACTGAAGAATTTTTTCCCCTAGCTGCAAAAATGGTACTTTAGTTTTTAAATTTCTGTTTCTAATTTTCTTAGTACGGCTTACAGAATTTTAGCAGTTATTCTACAAATATAATCTTTTTCCATTATCATTCATTTGTTTTTTTTAAGTATCATAAAAACATACTAAAAATCGTTGCGTCGAGCTAAACATTGTAAATATAGAAGAAGAAGAATATAGAAGAATATGACTATAAACATCTAAATTTCAAATAGTTCTGCACATAGAAAACCTTCCGAAAAGTATTGTCTGATTCTTGGGAAGTAAATCTTATGTTAGGCTCAAAGACCGACAACACGCATTGAGCGAAAACATCGACCATAACACGATGTGGCTCCTTCGATTCGACCAAAAATGCAAAATTCTTTTTTCATAACACAGTCATAAAAATCGTGTGATTCTTTCCTCTGTCGATAAGCAGAAAAGATAGGTTTTATGAATGGTTTTTAAAAGGTGCTCTAGGAGCACTGTGTGACGTCAGAGTTCAAAAAAGAGCCTTGTTTGTGCATGTTTCCCACTATTTTTAACTTTTTGGAATCACTGTTTTACCGACGGAACAGAGTCAATGTTTTTAAAGTGAATAGTAGTTGAACCAGACCTGAGTTAAACGCACCTTGGATACCTAACCTACTTGACCACTGTTAACGCGAGGAACACGTTTTTGTCATATAGTCCAGGTATATTTTCGATAGTAAGTATATTTTTATATTTAATTATAACAATCTTATATTTTGGATTTTTTATATACAGTTGCACTGTAAATTAAGTTTTTTATTTAAATTACGTTTAAATTAGCGACGATGATCGTTGCACGCCGCCGGAGATTCGGAAAAAAGCAGAGGAAATTAACAGCGATTTGCTACCGAAGCAGTCAAAAGATGCATACGAAGATGCGTACAAAAAGTTCGTTCAATGGAAAGAGACTAACAACGCAATCACGTCCGAAAACTGTTTGAAGGTTTATTTCAAAGACCTAATTAAAACTTACAAACCATCCACTATTTGGTCTACATATTCTAAATTAAAAAGTACGATTCAAATTCATGAAAAGATTTCGATTGATA